AGTTCTGGAACATGATTGAATTCAACCGTGTCGCTGGGATGGTCTGGATCGGGCGTCCGCTCGTCTTCCTGCGAGGAATCACCGCCATTTGCTTGCTTTCGACCTCGAAACTCGACATGGTTCTGTCCTCGAATTCGGTGGTCACGCACATGGTGTCTCCGCCTCGATTTTGGGTCACCACGTTCATGTCGTGCGGCGAAATGGCGTGGCTCGTCTACATCATCAATGACGTGTTTTCACCCCTGACCAAGCAGTTTACGTACTCGTACTCGTACAAGAGTTCGAACCTGGTGTGGCTGACCACATTCGTTTGGAGCATGGTATCGCCTCCCGAGCACAGCATCACGATCAATCGAGAGTGCTCGATCGACATTGTGGACTTCCAACTCGTGTGTCGCAGTGGTGTGCTCGAAATTGGCAGTGTGACTCGCTTCGGGGGCCTCATTGGCCTCGCGTTTGGCTGTTGCTTGCTCTGTTATGTTCTCGAACGGGTGATGTACCCGCGACTACAGTTTCGCCTTTCCACCCACTCGCTCATGCTACACGCTGCCGCGCGAAACAATTTTGAATTTGACCGATGGACGCATCGACACGTAAACTACCTGGACAAAGCATCCGCCGTGCTCAACGGTCTCCTCAGCGTCCAAGTTGGCCACATTATTTGCATATTCGACGTCAAAACATGGAGGCTGTATGACGTTGACGTGTCTATTGACTACCACAATGCTCTGAAATACCAAGAGGATGCCCATCACTGGTACCTCCATCGGGCAATTCCTCTCGCGGAATAGAACGTTTAAATTTTCAAAATTGCCGACCTGTTCTCATTCATTTGGCGAAGGTCACTGCTTTCTTTCAGTGATTAATGCAGGGTCACTGTAGGAAGTTGATAGCGCAGAGGAAATTTGGAAGCGATTCAATTGTCATCGTTAAATCGTTCTAGCTAAAGATCGCTATGCAGTACTCACGCGACCGTGTCGCGGGTGCGCCTAGCTGCCATGTCGCGGGTGCGGGTGCGGCTAGCTGCCGACTTCTACAGACCACGCACACTCGACGTCGCGACATCATTAGTTAGGTCCTTTGGTCGCTACATT